CCGGCGACACCGACTCGGAAACGTTTCGCAACATCGCCGGGGCCGAGCTGGAGTTCCCCGACGAGCTGTTCGATGACGTGTCCGAGTCGGCCAAGGACTTCATCCGGCGATGTCTGCCCAAGCAGCCCAGGTGACGGCGTGTTGGATGGCGATGGCTGTGGGGTGGGGACGTCCGATCAGTTCCACGCGCGGGACCACAGCCGTTGATGGCCATGGCTGTGGGGTGGGGACGTCCGATCAGTTCCACGCGCGGGACCACAGCCGTTGATGGCGATGGCTGTGGGGTGGGGACGTCCGATCAGTTCCACGCGCGGGACCACAGCCGTCGTCCCGGCCGCACCGGCGCGGTGATGCAGCCCAGCTCGGTGGGGTGAGGCCTTACGGCGTGCTCTCTTGGAGTCAACTTTGTCGGCTTGGTGTTGATGACCGAGCACACCTGAAACACCCTTCTTAACGCATGCGCACTTTCCTGTCTTCGTGCTTGTAGGGCTGGTGGTAATATGCTTATGCTTTAATGTTTTATGTCACTAAACGAACTAGCTGAGGTGGAGTGTTCCACATTTGTACGGGGTTTTGAATTGAAATAGCCATGTTCAATATCATTCGGTGCAGTTCGCAGCCCTGCCCTTCTGAACGCCTAAACTCCTCTAGTTTCTGAGCTACACGCCCACGAAGAAGTGTATGCCATTTTTGGGTGACTATCTCAAGGTCACCCAAACACCCATGACTCCACAACGTCTTTCAAACCCTGCCGTTTCAACAGCTAACAACGATCAAGGCCAATAAAAATGTGATTTGAGTCGAGTCGTTCAAACCCTGCCGTTCCATAAGCTATAAGGCGATCAAAGCCAATAAAAATATAACTCGAATCGATTCGTTCTATCTGATGTCCGTGAGTGTGATTTCAAGATATGACGGCCTTCAATTCAAACAATGTTGTGCGAGGCACGATGACGTAACAAACAATGACGCATTGAACAACATATTTACTACACAGAGAAACTGTGTTGGCTAGGGAAGTCTTTTCCAGATAAAAGTATATCAATAGTTGTAAGCAAGCCGATTTCATCATATCTGATGCTTGCTTCAATGTCTTCAGATGTGAAACATTCCCTTTAAATTACTTCCAACACAACACACTTTTATCATATCTGTGCGTCGTGTATATATTCTCAGGTCATCCTTTTTTGCAAGCAATTTTTTGTTTGCTTTGATGTTACACGATATTGACGAGGGGCTAGTCCGTTTCTTTGGCTTTGGCTTCGCCCGCTGCACAATCCCTCTTGAAAGCACGTGTTCAGCCCTTTGTATCCGGCATCACGACCCCGGCGCAGAACGGCTAGGTTGAATACCCCTGCATCGCACGATGGGCAGCAGCGACCCGGCCCGTGGCAGCTCAGAGCGTCGTCCAAAGTCGAGCTCCCCGCTCGCTGACAGTGGCTGAATTCGCACTCCCGCCCCATGGCTCTTCCGCGCAGTGGTTGCGTGGTGAAAGGGACAACGCGGATAATTTGATGTGGGGACAGGAGCATCAGTCCGTCACGTGTCAGCCGGGGATGCATTCCCCACCTCCCACCGCCGCCAGATGATGGTGCGAATAATGACGCGGGTCATGACGGCAGACGAAATGCCTTCAAGGCGCCTGTTTGTCGGCCTCTTTCGGTAACCACTCACAGCGCTGCCAATATTGGCGATAAATCGCCGAGCTGATGATTTTCTGAGAACACTTGGCAAGACTACTGCGATAATTGGCCATGACATTGCACCACACTGGCGATTGCTGAAAATGCCCAGAAAGCCGATTGATCAGGCAGGAATTGACAAATAAGGTATCACCTAGCACATAGATTAGAATAAGTAGAAAATTTGGCCAAAGAAATACGCCAGGAACGAAAAATTCGTAGTACCATGTAAGCTTGGCAAAAAATGACGATTTTCTGTGCGCACTTCGCGATATGGGCCGTTTGAAGCCACGTGTCACATGAGATGTGAGTCCTTCGGAACCTTTCGGCCCTGGCCCCGCGGCGGTCACATACCACGGTCGCACCGTGGCCGAGCTCCACCCCGGTGACTCTCTCACCTCATCAACGGGAATCATGTTCATGAAAATACCCGCCCCGGGCCACATGCATGCACTTCGTCAGAGATGTTTAACTGTCTGCGGTGGTGCAAAGCTACTTGGTGGGCCGCATCTATAGCTATGTTCAACTTTTCAAGAGAGTCTGCACGGGAATGGCAAGGTTATCCATAAGGCCTTACTCAGATTTTACGCGGACTGCGAGGTCCCGCGATATCTAAGGCAGAATGTTTGAAGCACGCGCCGTGAATGGAGCAATATTAGCCGCAACAAGTTGTTCTTCATCGGCAGTGCTAATGGCCGTGTACTCGAGCAGCTGAAGATTGTTTCAGCGTTTTCAGTATTACTGGTGTTATTCTTATATTCTGCTTTAAATAATGGCCCGGTCACCCAAACACAAGAGAGTGCTGTACAGCGCATAATGGCCCTGTAACTGGGCATGTTTGCTTTTCTAACGAGTCATGTTTTATTCAAGGCTTCTCGTAATCTGCAGTTGCGTTTGCTTTATTCAGTAGGCGATGGTCATTACATATTTGATGTTCATGATTTTCTCTTCACCAGGGACCGCATGACCGCCAGACAATCGCTGGCCCACCGCTGGCTGCAACGTCCACCCACCTTGACCCCTCCGGAACCTGGCATCACCCCGGCCGACGACAGCACCGAAGACCTGTCGAAAGTCAACAACTCGCCGAGGAACCTGCGCCGATCTATCTCCAAGAGCCGCGAAGTGCTCTCCGTCAAGGTCAGCAAGGGCAACCTGAAGAAGAACATCTCTAAGTCACGGGAGCGACTGTGTGACCTCAAGTTCAGCCTTCCGAAGAGCCCGGACCAGTTCCCGTCCTGTCTCCGAGCTAGTACGTCCCGGCTTGCGGACGGATCAGGCGGCAGGCCGCCGTGGAAAGGTGCCGGCGCCGGCGGGCCCACGAGCAGCGTCTCCACCTCGGCCATGGACCGGGTCAACACGTTCAAGGTGCGGGACCAGTACCAGAGCCAGGTGGCGGCCATTCTGAGCGGCAGCTGCCAGAGCCTGGACGGTGGCCCACCGCCGTTCGTGCGCCACAACAGCCTGCGCGGCCGCCGGAAGAGCTCAGCACAGAGCGGCGAGCCGGCCAACCTCCGGTCGTCACTGCGACGCACCAGGAACAAGGAGGGCGCTCTGAACCGGAAACACAGCACCCAGGCGGAGGACTGCAAGCTGGCGCCAGACAGCGACAAGAACAAGGAGCTGGGCAAGCGGTCCGTGTCGTCTCATGATGGGTCTGAGTCGATCTTGCGCACTGAACGTCAGAGGCGCAGTTCAAGGAACGAACGGCTAACTTCTGTTGAGGAAAAGAATACGCGAGAAGCTGTGGTTGAAACTCTTCATGGTGAAAATGGCATGGTCGCGAAATTAAATAATGACCAAAGCAAGGGCATGGAATCAAATTCAACGAAAACAAATTGCAAGACTAGGGTGGACGATGACGACGAAAAAGATGGCATACAATCCACCTCAGCTCCTACCCACGTATTAGAAGAATATTTTGGTCCGGAAGGAACCGAACAGTCTTGTGTCTCAAAGAGTGAAATTGGTGATGCATTTCTGTGCAGCACTGATTCTCAGTGTAATCGAATCGCAATGTAAAACTAATGAAACTGGAACCCAACTTCAGCCCCACGGCACTGTTCACGGGGACGTCAGCTTGAACGACAGCGCCACCCAGGTAGATTCATCCCCCAGCCAGTCATCAGAGGGCGGTGAAACACAGTCAGCTGAAGCGAAGAAAAAGTCACCATCAATGCCCACCAGCAAAACTTCACCGTCCAGGCGTTCCTGTGGGCCTGCGCCGACCAACGCAGCCCACGTCGGGTCACGCGACAGACGGACAGTCAGCCCGAGAAGACGAGCGAATGCGTCCAGCGGCGCGCGCCAGTCGGTGCTAGAGCGCAGGAACACGGTGGCCACCCTGCCAACTCCGGTCGCCCCTGTGACGTCACTCCGTCGACAGGCGTCGCTGGACAGGCAGGAGCGCGGCGTCAACACCGTCACGGCCTCCACCTGCGAGCGAGCCGTCAACACGGACGCCGTCCGATTGGCGGCCATCATAGACGAGGACGTGGTCTGGGAGCAGACGCAGGCGCTCGGGCCTCGCACTGTGCGCGGCCGGCCGGCCCTCGAACTGCCCCGCTCGCCGCCCACCCGACAGCGGCGCGAGTCGAGCGAGCGCAAACTGCGCGAGCCGATCTTCGAGCGATCAGCTCCGCTGCGCTCCAGCCGGCGCGACTCGTCCCGGCAGCAGAGGTCGCCTCAGCCGGCCACCTCCCGCGCCAGCTCCACCGACGGCGGACGCCGCTGGCGCAAGGCCTCGGCCGACGAGGACGGCAGGGCGCTCCGCAAGTCCTCCACTGACGAGGACGTGCGCCGATTGGCTGTCCTTTCGGGGGTCAGGATTGGGGGCTTCGGGGACAGGAAGTGGACGGGCTCTACCGAGAGTGGCAGGTGTCCCCGCAAACCCTCTGTGGACGAGGACGGAAAGCGTCTCCGCAAGTCCTCCACTGACGAGGACATACAACGGCTGGCGGCTTTACCCTCGGGAGTAAAAAGCGAGAAAAGGACGAGCCCCACTGAAGGGGCCAGGAGTGCGCGCAAACTCTCGACGGACGAAGACGGTAGGCGCCTACGGAAGTCCTCAACCGACGAGGATGTGCGACGGCTGGCGTCCCTGTTCGACGCTCGAGAGGAGAAGAGAGCGCCCCCGATCGCGGAGAAGAGGACGGCACCATTCCACCGACGCTCCAGCTCCCTGACCAGCGACTTGGGCAGCAGCGAGGTGTCCAGCGACGCCGGCAGCGAGTCGTACAACATCGTATCCTGGGAGGAGAAGGCCGAGCCGTCGGCCGGCGGCGGGCGGACCACCGAGCTGCGGCCGGTGGTCACCACGCGGCTGGTGCGGCGACCTCGCTCGCGCAGCAGCCAGGCGGCGGTGGCGGCCGCCGCCGGCCAGGACGGCCGCCCCCAGATCGCCACCTCGGCCCGGGACGGCGACGAGCGGCCGCGAGGCTCCGTCTACAGCCGGGCCGTCACGCGGGCCGTCGGGCGCTTCCAGGCGCTCGCCAAGCAGCCCAGACAGTGCCAACCCGCGGAGCTATGCGCGGGATCCTCTGGCCCCAGGGATAGGTCCAGTGGTGATCGGGCTTCCCGCTCGGCGGTCAACCGTTGAGAATCATCGGGACAGGTGGGGGACACGCTGGAGAGCGAATGCAAGTTGTATATAATGTTATGGTATAGAAATGGCATGCCTTTGAGCTTGTTGGTCTTCAGTGTGTGACAGATGGCGGGCCTGGCGTCGCGCAAGATCGCGAACACATGTGGCATGCCCTCAATAAATGACGTATATTTACTAAAAGCTGGGACCATGTAGGACACTGCTTTATTCGTGCGATATTTACACATCCTAATACAGCGCTGATATAAACTATTTGCACCGGATATTGTTTTCCGCGAATGGTTGTTAGGGCTGATGTCGAAAGTTCAGTGCGCTTAAAAACAGTTCACAGCACCCCGTCTGGTTGTTTCTATAACAGAACGAGCATCCCTTAAGCCGGGCATTTACGCCAGCGCCATAAAAGACCATCACGCACTTCCATCGCTTCAATCATTCCTGTATGGCGACGGTACATGCGTATGATTGTGATGTGCAATTCGCAATAAAGCACTGACGAAAGAGTCTGCGCGGTTGTCCTGGTGACGACACATTTTGTATGTCTTTGTGGGGGTCGTGGCCGCAGCAATGTCGAGATGCCCGTTCCCCAGTGCTGAAATGGCCACCGTCATGCATAATTTGGCCTTCAATGGTCCGTCTGGTTTTGAAATAACAGAAACTTGATGTTTCGCGTGCAAAAAAAAAAAAATCAGAACCACTGATGATTTTGTGCACCTTTAAGATAGAAAACAAAGGGTTTGCCGAAATGTTTCCAAAAGTATTTTGGACTTCATGGTGAAGCGGGGCTCTAACACCCCGTTTCAGCTACAGGTGAAACTAGCTGCGACTTCGCATGGGTGACGATTGTTAAATCCCACATACGGCATGATTTGGAACAAAAGTCACGTATTACCTAGTGTTGTATAGGCCTCTGGTCAGAGCCGTGCAGCAGGCGCCACAGCTTTTTTCGACACACGTCTGACATGTAAAATGATATGAGTTAACCTGGCCTCTTAAAACGTGACCTTACAAAGTTCAAGAAAGAGGTCAGTGGGTAGTAAACGGAGAAGTCGAGATTGATCACCTTTGAAAGTGTCTGTATCATAGGAGTGGACTTGCCAGCCTGGACCAGGCATTGGACAACTTACATTGTGCCTCTGTCAGTTAAAATCCAGCGATGCGAAAGCCATTTCATTATTGTTGCTCGATTTTCAAATTTTTGTGTACGCCACTTGACCCCACCACTTGAAGTCTAGTGGCAATAACTTGGTGGTATAATAATGCAGTTATGGTTAGTGCGCTGTCCTGTCCGAACTTAGGAATAACTTGCACGCGCGATTAGCTAGCTGGTCATATGCACCAGCCGGTAACTGTACATTATCGGTGCGAAGAGAGCTGGATGCTCCGTCCGTCCTATCTCTCGTGCGTACATTCTCACTTCTCCTGTCGTTGTATTTCAATAGTTAGCAGCATGCGCCTGCAATGCAAGGCATCATAATTACAACTACGTCTGAAAAGGCTCAGCATATCTCAAAACAAACATGTAACTCTTGAGTGATAGTGGCTGGGATCACGCCCACATGGGCATCTGGCTGCACACACTACATGGTACTGCAAATATTCGAGAATCCTTATTACGTTTGGATCAAAGACGCCTGCGCACTCTCACATGACCGCAAGAAAGTGAAAAAGAAAGTCACAATCACTTGTTTGAATTTAACTACTTCCTGCACGAGCGCCGTCACGATGAATGAGCCCGGGAAACGACTGAGTCCTCTCACCGGCCTGCGGCACGGTCTCCAGCTGCACATCCACTTGCTGATTCAGCGCAGCGGCTACTCCAGGAACAACCGAGGGCGTCGACGACTGAATCTCCGGAGCAGCGGGCTGGCGTCGCAGGATGCCCGCCCGCCGAAGTCGCTCTAATCCGACACCGGCACCCCCAGCAGAGCAGCCGGACGCGGCCGGCCCGGAGCCACACCTGTGTTCGACTCAAATTTTTGCAGCCGGCTCAGGACCGGCTCACTATTTTTGGAACCGATTCAGCCCATGGTACATGGCTGCTCCACCATTTTTTTCATATTCAGCTCCGTTGAGATTCATCGCGTGCGTTGAATCATTTGACTCATGACTCGCGCGCCTTGCAAAATCAAAGATCCAATTCAGCTCTGGCTCGTTGCCTTATGACTGGTGAGCCATGTGACCTATTCACATATTCACACACACACGCACGCACGCACGCAGACACACACACACTCATATATTTACACACACACACACACACACACACACACACACACACACACACACACACACACACACACACACACACACACACACACACACACACACACACACACACACATATATATATATATATATATATATATATATATATATATATATATATATATATATATATATATATATATTTCACATTTGGTTAAAAACGACCACTTCTGCATTAGCAGGTTCTGGACATACTGCATCAGCAGGTTTCTAGATGTGTCGTTCGAGGTTCTGGGCTTTTGAGCGGCACACGGACTCCAGTTCGGCTTAACGGGCCCATGCTGGAATTGTGCTGGACGGCCCACCATTCGGTACCTGCGGGCCCTGACCAGCACAGGAACCCTTCCATTGCCTGAATGCGTAAGCTCATCAAAGTTCTAATGGGTCCTTTCGTTGTCAGGGGGCCCGACCAATACAAGAGGCTCTCTGTCGTTCGAGGTCCCGTTCTCGTCCTTGTTGAGCAAATCTTCCCCTGACCGACTCGGGGCCTCTTGGTGATACAGAATACCCTGGCACGCACTGTAAGCCCCTGAACAACACAGGGGCCCCACATTGCTACAGGGGCCTCGACCAGTGTAAATCTCGAGCCCGGCCTTGTCCTTCTTTGGAAATGAGCCCCAGAGCTTAGACCGGCATCGACCCGGCTGCTTGGTGTTGGTGATCTCTAGCCGAAACAGAGGAACGCTTTATCTCAGGGGTCCCTCATCGGTGAAAGAGGCCCTCCAACTGAACTTTGAGATAACGGCGCTACGGGGTTCCTAATATGGCCTGCAGCTAATCCTTCGAACCCCTCAGCCTTACGATCGGGCTCTTGGTCTTTAGTTTCCAAAGATCCCTCGGCTCTCCTGCGGGCACTATTAAGTACCGCTCCTGGCGGACTAGGGGCCAATTGCCGCCACAGGCCCCCTCTTAGGCGCTGTAGCTTCTGACTGGTACAGAAGCCCCGCATTGTGTCAGGGACCCTGAACATTGCAAATATCGGGCCCGGCCTCGCTCCTGCTTGGGAAATGGGTCTCAAGGGCCTAGACGGATATGGAGTCGACTGCTTGGCTCCGTGTCGAGGCCCCATATAATGGGGATAGATAACCTAAGAAAATGACACTAAAAGAAGCCTTCTGACTGAAATTTCAGGTCACGGTATTGTGGGCGGGGGGGGGGGGGGGGGAGTCTCATCGTGCCTCTGATCTTTGGTCCCGAAGTGCCCTTCGCTTCCTCTTCGGACCTCTTCAAAGTCTGTGGCCGACGAGGGGCCACTAGCCGACAAATTACCCTCTGTTGGGTGTTGTGACCCCTGACCCATACAGAAGACTCAACCATTGTTTACAGGGCCCCAGGCCAAGGCAACTCGTGGCTGCCGGCCTTGCTATGTGCTTCATAAATGGGCTCCCAGGGCTCAGATTCACAGGGAGCAAAGTTTTCAACATCTGTGGTCTCTGGCCAAATTAGATACCTGCATCGTCTCAGAGGGTGCACAAATGGTGCAAGAGGACCTCTGACTGATATTTCAGGTCACGACCCTACGGATCTGATTTTTTACGAGATCTTCCGTCAGTCCTTCGGGTCCTCACGCCATTCAACCGGGCCTTTGATTGTCCGTTCCGGTGGGCCGCCCCGCCCCTTTCCGGGCCTCATCGAACACTGTCTTTGGTTGGCTCGGGACCCCTTGCGAGCACAGGACCCCCTGTCCGGCGCTGTGGGCCCCTGGCAAATACAGGGGCCCCAGCCAGTGTAAATCACTGGCACCCCGGCATGGCGCTGGCAATCACCTGGCATTGTAGCATTGGAAATGGCATTGGAAGTGGCATTGGAAATGGACATTGGAAAGTGGAGCCTCCCGTCCATACCGACACGGAACCGACTGCGCGATACTGGTGGTGCCTGGCCAGCATATGGGCCCGTCACCCCAGGGGTTCCCGATGAGCGCAAAGGTCCCTCTGACTGCTATCCGAGTGTCCATCCCCTCAGGCCGGGCCCCTGAATGACACCCCGACCAGACCTGCGTGCTCTTAGACCCTCCAATCAGGCCCGTGATCGTCGGATCCAGTGGGCCCTCCACACTGTTCGGGACTCCTCACGAACGCTGCATCCGGCCGACTCGGGACCCCTTGCCGAAACGGGGCCTTCGTTGTGCGCTGTAGGGCCCCGACAGGCCCAACCAATGTAAATCGCTGGCTCCTGCTTTGCCCCTGCTTGGGAAATGGGCCCTGAGGCCCACGCCGTCGCGGAGCAGACTGTGCGTTATTGGTGATGTCTGACCAAGATATAGTCCCTAATGGATTCAGGTGCCTCTGACCAGCGTGCCAGGCCCTCTGGCTGGCAATGGAGTGCCCGGCCGTACGGGCCGTGGCCCCTGAATACATCCTCCGGCCGGCCTTTCGAGCCCCGCGGGTCCTCAAATCGGGGCTGTAATAGTAGGTCTCGGAGGAGCCCGAAGGGATCAGAAGGGCCCTCGGGACCTAAGGGGGGGGGGGGCACGTGCTCCCTGTGCCTACCCTTGCCTGTGCTACTGGTCGCTATGCAAAGATGTACATCAAAAAGTGTACGTTCTCTGCTTTTTTATTCGGATTCAGCTCCAGTTTTCAAGGCACGTTGCATCGAAATCGGATTGGGTTTCTTTCTTCGGGGTCATATTTCTAATAAATTTCATCCAAACTGAATCAAGCAGAACCCAATCCCAGGTTGTTTATTCTAACCCACGCTCCCACTGACAGTCTATTACTAAAATGATAACGCGTTAGAGCTGTTGTAGTGATGGTCCCCCCGGAATGTTCGGGCGCAACAGCTCATGCTAAAGCGCTTACGACAAAGTAAGGCATCGACTGAGCATGAAGCGTACACTTATTTCGAACCATTTGTGCGATGGGGTCCCACCCGGCACCTCCCCACAGCTTCGTTGCAACCACTTATATTTCTAATGTCCTTCTGTCATTTAATTAAATCGTTCCATGCCCCTGTACAACCCGCATTTCCGGGCGAGTAATGAAACGGTTGAATTCAATGCAATGTCCTGCTTGATCCAAGACTATCTTTCCATCCATCAAAGCTTTCACAAAGGTTTTAACTATGAGACCCAAACCCGTGTGACATTTCAAACGTAGCCTCTCGCTCAATCTTTGGGTTTTATTATTTTCTTATTGAAGAACGGCTGCCGCATCTTAGAATGTTTGGCCCCACACATAATGCATGAATCCACCGCGACTCCAATCTCTGCCTGAACCGTTTCAAAGACCTGATCGAAGGTGAGCTGCCGGCAAATCACGTTATTCACAGGGGGGGGGGGGGGCATTTCACGGTTTACTAGGGAGGGGATTTGACAGTTACTGATTGGGATAATCCACCTCTTACCAACTAATATGTTAAAAGCGGCCCAGCCTCGACTTCATTTGAACTCAAGAACGATGTCCATGGCTAAGCTGGAAAACGTTTCAGTTTTCATCGCGTTAAACGTTATTTTCTTCTTTCTTTAATTTCTCTCTATATGGTTAGAAGCCTTCCATATACTCTGAAACAGTTCTGGCGCAAGAAAGACGTTCCAATATTGATCGTAAACACATCTACCTGCGCCATCTGCGGCCGTCCTTTTTACGCTTTTGGGTTTGCAGCGGTTCGCGGCATGAGTGGGTCTAGTCGTTAATGGTATGGTTTTGTGGTCCACCAGTCTCATAAAGAGCTAGTTTAGCTTCCGTGCGGTTCGCTGAAAAATTAAATTGCTGTTTCTCTGTGTGTTAGTATGCAGAACATTCTGGTGGTGCTCTTGATATGTATTTCCGTCATATTGCCGGTGCTATCCTGGAACCCATACGACATACTAATGGTTGATAGGCAAGCAGATGTTCCAGCCATTAAAAAGTCTTACAAGCGCCTGGTAAAACAATGGTAAGTTGAACTGTTTGGGTGGGTGGTCAGTGTGTTGGTGTAGCTATTTGGGTAAGGTTCAAATTAAAGTTTATTTTGATTGAGTACATTGAAGCCAATTAAAATCTGGCTCATGCACGATATATGCTGAACACCTGTATGTGATAGTCATAATTTCCCTCTCTTTACCATGCTTTTTATATTGAAAGCTGACAATGCCCTCCTCCCCAAACTGGAAGAAAATACCTTGCATCAATCATGGCAGGCTTAGCTGCAATATCCTGATAATAATTTCTTGGAATGCATGCTCTAAATCGGTGCCTTGGGTATGGTGTATGATATCTGCTTGACTGCTCACTGAAAGCAAATGCTTCATTGAATTGACAATTTTGTTTTGGTAATTTTGAGGTAAAATGCTAACAAAACATTTTTCAAACACAAATATTTCAAAAGTGCAGCATGATCTGGTGTGACTTGAATCTTGTTTAAGTGTGCTCTGGGTTCAGCTCACATAAATCAAGTAGGCATCCAGTACAGGGGATAGATTTTTTCAGATTTGCCTCCATCTTTGCATTCCAATACCACAGACCACGTAGCATGCATGTTGTCCCTGATGCCTTATGTATCCAGTGTAACAGTGACATTGCAATAATTTAAGCTGTTTTACCCACTTTTTCACCTCATATATACTTGTAAATCACATTGATATGAGTTTGTCACATGGTTGAGTCTGATTCCAGTTGATGTGGGTAGATACTTCAAAGAATTAAAGTCTTGCGGGCACAGTGTTAAAGGGAATGCTTTTCATTTGAAGATGTGAATGTGAGCATCAGATCTGATGAAACGAGCTCACCTATAACTATTTGTATACTTGTAAATGGAAAAGACTGCTTCAGAATGCACAATTTTCTGTTGAGTAAATATGCTCCTTGTCACATTGTCATTTGATTATGCCATCATACCTTGTGTAACACTGAAAGCCAATTGACAGCTGGTTTATCTGGAAATCTCACCCTGCTTAGGAACACACCAGGTATGAATGTCTCCACAACAACATTTTTCTTGGCTTTGATTGGGCATAACTTATGGGATGGCAGGATTTGAATGACATTATTTTGATGTCATGAATGCCAAGGTGACTGAAATACTTCCTCTGATATGTCTCCCATGCATAGCTGAGAAACTAGAGGTTCTTTGGTCTCAAGAAGAGCAGGACTGTGAACAGCACTGTCCTGAGTCCAAAGAGTCTGTCAGCCGGACCTGAAAATGTTTATTATGAAGAAATGAGAAATCTGTATTTTATGGTGAAATAGGCAAGAACAAGCTTTTTTGGAAAAGTGCTGAAATGTTGTTTGGTGTGGGAAAGGCATGTTATGGGACTGGGCTCAAAGTGTGTTGGTGATGTTGGTAGCACACTAGCTGTTGCACATTAGAGATATTGTCCACTTCCACTTGTGTGAGCCCACCACTGGGTTGAAAGGAACCCAGCCAATGAACACTGTGACATGTAGAATAGTGCAACATGTAGATGCTTGTAGGGAAAGCCACCATCATAAGGGGATCTAGTTGGGAGTTTGGGACACCATTGGAATGAGAAGAGTCACATGAGGGCTGGGACAGGTTTACATAACTGTGGGGGGAAAGCTATATGTAAAATGTGTTGTAGGTATGTGCATATGCATTTACATTTGTTGAGGTATTTGTTCCTGAGATCATGTGCCATGCTGTATAATTTCTCATAATAAACAGAATTCATGAATATTCAAGCTTTCAGTGCCAGAACATGCTATTGCCACCCACTCTGATAAAAACCTGTGTGTGTGTGTGTGTGTGTGTGTGTGTGTGTGTGTGTGTGTGCGTGCGTGCGTGCGTGCGTGCGTGCGTGCGTGCGTGCGTGCGTGCGTGCCTGCGTGCGTGCGTGCGTGCGTGCGTGCGTGCGTGCGTGCGTGCGTGCGTGCGTGTGTTCAATGTCTTCACTGATGCAAATGCAGTGCTTTAAATGAGCTCTGCCCATCATGGTAAACCAATCTGTTTCCACAGGCATCCTGACAAAAATACTTCTCCTGATGCGGAGGAAAGATTTGTTGAAATAAACAAAGCATATGAGGTTGGTATGCTGTATATTGCTGTGGGCAACCATTGCTGTGAAGCAGCACTTGTTGCTTTATCACAACAATCAGCTGTGTTTGCTAAGATCTGCATTCTTTAAATGTTGTGTCCCCAGATGAGAATGTTGCAGGTGATTTTAAGTAAATGACCTGTTAACAGGTGATATCTGGGTATTTCTGTCTCCGTGATGAGGAGACACCATAGGTCATCGAGCTTATGCTGTACACACACCCGTTTCGTCCCATGGCGACCTCTGGCGCATGAACCTGTCAGTTGATGAGCTGTTTTGTTGTCGGCTCATGGACCTGTTGTCCGTCTTGCTATGTCTGCCACTGGTGTTGAATAAGGTGGAGCACGGTCCGTCAATCACGAACGTCAGCTGCCGTGTGCAGTGTGTGCAGCCGAGGCGGGCTGGCGTGGCCCGCGGCCTCGTCCCGCGCTGATTGAGCGCCGCCGTCGCCCGCTCCAGATCGTGTCGGACCCGGTCCGCCGGCGCAGGTTCGACAGGACCGGCCAGGTGGAGGACACGCCCAACTTCCGACAGTCCGGCCGGCCCTTCGGTCGGGATGACGTCGCCAGCTTCGCGTCCAGCCAGTTCCACTTCTCCTTCCGGAGACACGGCACCATGCTGTTTCACAAGCAGTCCATCAGTCTCAGGTGTGGTCGCCTTTACGGTCAAGATCGTACCGCGCAGTGGTCATATCATCCAAAGTCATAACATCCAGCATTTAAAGCATCCAAAGTGCACTCAATTCCGCGCCCATTGGCGGAGTTTATAGCATTCAATCTTCCAACGTCCAAAGTTATAAGATCCAATGCTTTTAACATTCAGAGATCATAACGACGATTTGAATAGCGTTGACTGACGCTGTTCTCCAACCTTTGGACGGCATAAACGCTGAATGTTATGAACCTTGGATGTTGCAGCCTTGGATGCTGTGAGCTTGGATGTTGCAATTCTCCCCTGTCCAGCGACATTGGACAATTTTTAAATGCTATAAACGCTGTATGCTGCGATTTCGGACGTTTTTACCATTGGATGTTATGAGCTCTGAATGTTTCAATACACATCCGTCGCCAGCGTTACTGAGCGGCTTATCTGCATCTGTTGCGTTCGGTTTACCCTCCACCATTAATTATGGGGACTCCGTGTTCATGGATATAAGTGGCAGCCGGCGTAGCGTCTGTCTGGCTCGATTTGGCAGGCAGTACGAGAACAAGGTGCTGCCATCAAGCCGCACATCGCCCACGCTGCTGCTGGCCTTCTCCGAGTGGTGCTTCAGCTGCGTCCAGATGGAGCCCGTCTGGGCCTCTCTCACTGAGGAGCTGCAGACGGTCGGCATCGGCATTGCTACGGTCAGTGTCAGAAAGACGTTGGCATCGACAACCATGTGTCTTTGTCGTGCTGTCCTTGACCCGAGGTGGGGTCACGTCAGCTGAGCTGCCACCGAAATCATTGGATGGTCCGTGGGTTGTAGGCGTAGGCTTTGCTCGGCATCACCGTGGCGTAACCACTCCTAGAATAATTCAATTGCCGAGGGGCTTGGCGTGGCCCGCTGGCTGAGACTCTGAGTCTGAGACCCTCCGTGGCTACGAATGTGGCACATACAGATTTGATCGAGACGACGGCAAAACATACCCCGGATAGTCCAGCGGCTGAAAAAGACTATTTCAAGCACCTCTATTAAAGTTACATTGTCATGACACAGACGGAGTATCACCGTCCATGACACGGCGAGGCCGGCAAAAACACACGGAGCCCACACAACCCGGTAACGATAATCAAGCACCACTTCCTCGACCCCAGCACCACCTCGGTCATCGTCAGTATGACATCACCAATGCCAGTGTCACTATAACATCACCGCGGTCATCGTCACTATAACATCACCAGGTCAGTGTCTGTATAACGTCTTCACGGTGAGGCTCAGTACAACATCGATCGCAACCGCGTCTGTGACATCCACAACCGTTTCCATAACCTCTATGGTCTTCTCTATGACCGTCTCCACAGCGGTCTTCGTAACCGTCTTCGTAGCTGTCTCCGCAGCCGTCTATGTGACCGTCTTCGTGACCGTCTGCAGGTGCACGCCGAGCACGAGCGTGAGCTGGCGCGCCGGCTGGCCGTGGACACGCTGCCGCGTCTTTACCTGGTGCTGGACGGCCGGGCCGTGCGGTACGCGGCCGACACCTTCAGTCTGGCGGGCGTCATCGGTGAGACTGGGCTGACAGACACTCGCTCGCCCTGGCTCGCCCAGAGCGACGGTCCGGATGAGCTCTGCCGGTGGGGCCGGGGCGGGGCCCGGCCGGCCGACAGGCGATCCATCGCCCTGGCTCGCCCAGAGCGACGGTCCGGATGAGCTCTGTCGGTGGGGCCGGGGCGGGGCCCGGCCGGCCGCAGACACTCGCCAGTCGGGTGTGCCGGGTAGCACAGCAGTGCCCGTTGTGGCCCTCAGAAGAAGTGGTGCTACTGGCTGCAGCACTTACACTTGTCGACAAACAACATGGCAATGTTTGGCGTGAGGAGAAATTCACATTGGGCACAGGCGTACCTACTACTTTGTTTCAAATGTAACTGCATACGTTGCTACGTAGCATCCACTCATCACATCGGCGCAGCACCACTGACTCCCTGTGGTGGATCACTTGCACAATCACGGCTGTCAGCGAAGGTCGGCTGCTCTTTCGTGTGTCGTCATGTGCCCTACCCTTCAGCAGGACTTACGTGGCATTCTTGCCTCCACTGCGACACGCTGTACAGCTTCACCCGATGTGAAGCTGATACTAACCTGCCCGCAGACTTCATCAAGGCGAAGATGTCACCAGGCCTGCTGCCGACGCTGACGCCGGCGAGCATGCCGGCCTTCCTGGCCGGCTGGGCCGACAACAGGGTGCGCTTGGTCATCTACAGCCAGAGTGATGCGCCCCGGCTCCGCTACGTGGCGCTGGCGTACAAGTTCCGGGCATCAGCGGCGTCCGGGTGAGTGAACGCGCTAGGAGAGGGGACGTGTAAGGGTTGACCGATCGGGTGAAAGCGAGAGACGAAGAAAACAGAAAAATTCCGGGGCCGAATACATTTGGGGCACTGAGTTACAGAAGAAAGGCATGAATGGGAGGCGATGCACGGTGATATCGATGTTGTTTGTTCGGCTTCTGGCTACTGGCGGCGGTCGGCTGTTGGACGGCCAGCTCAGCAGCTGGTGACAGGCACGCGCGTCGCCAGGTTCGTGTGCACGTCAGTGGCCGAGTCGGCGCCGCTTCTAGCCGCGTACGCCGTGCCGGCGCGCGCAGAGACATTGCACGTCCTGAAGGAGTCGCGGGAGGCGCCGGCCGCCAGCCTTAGCATGCAGCTGCTGCCTTTCACGACCATGTCAGACGTGGTGGAGAAGAACAAGTTTCTGCTGCTGCCACGCCTCTCCTCCCAGGTCTGTGGCCGCCGGCCAAGAACCAGGGCAGTACCGGGCCAGTGACCGGTTGATGCCAGTGGTGGAACGTACCAGTATGGTGCCTTGCCAGTGGTGGGACGGCACCAGTGTAGTGCCGGGGAGCTATGGGATGGCATCAGTGTAGTGCTGATACCGAATCAGCATTGGACTGACACCAGCGCCGTGGCGGTGCGCTGGCATGCTGATGACTCCAGACCCGTCTTCTTACCGGCCTTTTTTATTTATGTCGCAATGTTTATGCAATGTTGTGGGGATTTCTACGGCATAATGCATGGCAAGCCGAAGCAGAAAGTCTCAAACTGACAGTGTTTGCGTTGTCTGGCTCTCATTTAGGGTGAAAAGTTGCCTCTGAAAGTCATGTCGCCTTTACGCTGGAAGTGCTAAGAGCGTCCCCCGGTCCTTGTCTGTACTGTCGGTGCCCGTGCGGCAGCTGATGCTGGACACGCTGTGTCCGACGGAGGCGGCGCGCTCGCGGCGCCACCTGTGCGTGGTGCTGGTGGCGCGCAGCACCGAGCCGCAGACGGAGCGCCAGGCGGCCCTGCGCCGGCACATCGCTCGCTCCCGAGTCACGCGCGACCGGCTCCAGTACGCCTACATCTACATGGACAAGCAGGCGCGCTTTATGGACGCGCTCCGTCAAGGTGCGTCGGCTCTAAGTGCGGGGTATGGATTGCCTGGGGAGGGGAGGAACATTTGGTTTCTTACTTCCATTGTGTCACCCTGAAGTTGCTTTGGTACAAACACCGTTTCAAGGGTATTGCTAGATGTATGCCTGTTTTATTCAACCGCGCCTCTACAATGGCGTTTTTTTTTAAACGTGATGCAGTACGCCCTGTGTGTCCTTAAAGGGAGCTTTCCCCGGTTCATGACACTGCAGGCCTGGGTCCTGACACGGCCGACGTGACACGTAACCCATGACCCCGCCCACGCGTGCCGCCACCCAGCTGCCGCCACCGCGGCGCTCTGGTCTGACTGGTGGCGCTCGCCCTGGAACCAGGCTCGTCGCTGGAGGACGCCGCCGGGCACGTGGTGATCCTGTGGCGGCAGGACCACCGGCACGTCAGGTTTGACTGGTCGGAGCACCGCTGGGAGACGCAGCCCGACCGGCTCAATCAGTCGGCCCGCCAGCTGGAGCACAAGCTGCACGCGCTGCTGGTCGAGAACAGGGTGCTGGCGCACGCTGCCACCGTACAGGTGAGGGGGAGACGTTGCACCAAACGGTAACTGTAACTTGTACTGTCCATGCACTCATAATCACATTCAAGAAGCAACCGATTGTGGATTTTGAATATCAGTTGGATCAAATTCATTGGGGTTCTGAGCTGCGACCACTCAACTGGAAGGTCTGTAAAAAGGGGCGTTCATTTTGTGATGCACACACAAAAGATAGTGAAGCACGTGAATTAAGTCATTTGTACGGCTTAGTATGTCATCAACATAGGGAAGCAGCGGGCAATGAAAGACGACTGTCGACTGGAGATGATTATTAACAGAGACGCACGAGTATCAAAGCGAGCCCATTTCACCACTCCACGGCCAAAATGTCTGGTGTTGACTATGGCGACGTACTCCCTCTGCGGCCTCCCCGCCCTCTGGTGTATCCCAGCGTGGTACACGGACAGTCGTGGACAAGTCTTCACTGCTGGTGCGCCGGTCCCGGTCACTACTCCCGTGCGGCCTCCCCGCTCTCTGATGTGTCCCAACGTGACACACGGACAGTGTCGTGGACAGGTGTCCACTGCCAGTGCGCCGGTGCCGGCCACTACCCATCAGTTGGGGCGTGACACACTCGCTCACTCAAAACACGACGCCGTCCGTCACTGTCGTGGCTCCTCCACGCCGGACCTGGAGCCCATGCGCACAGGCTCCCGGACAGCAGGGGTCTGCTGGCCCCGGCGGTCACCGACAGCAGCTGTCAGGGGCGGTCTGGGGCAGTCTGGAGCTGGGGGCGGGTACTGCTGCGGGTCACGCCGCCGTCAGCGGCTGTCGGGGGCAGTCTGGAGCTGGGGGCGGGTACTGCTGCGGGGCACGCCGCCGTCAGCGGCTGTCAGGGACAGTCTGGAGCTGGGGGCGGGTACTGCTGCGGGTCACGCCGCCGTCAGCGGCTGCCGGGGGCAGTCTGGAGCTGGGGGCGGGTTCTGGGGCGGGGCACGCCGCCGTCAGCGGCTGTCGGGGACAGTCTGGAGCTGGGGGCGGGTACTGCGGCGGGGCACGCTGCCGTCAGCGACATTCACCGTGAGCACGCAAGCGGGCACCAGTGTACAATTGCTCCCTGCAAAAAAAAAAAAACACTTGGCAAATCATGCACATGATGATAGTTACTTGGCTACAGCACAGGCACTGGAAATTGCACTCGATTACCTGAAAAATGCAACAGGTGATAGACGAAATGCATTTGGGTTAAACTGGAAGGACAAAAACGCAGGGCAGAACTGTAGCTGGCGTTATGTCGCTTCAAGTATGCCGATGGCGATATGTTTATTACCAGATTGAATGAGCGAGCGATTTCTCCGCGTGCTTATTGGCGGGTCTTAAGCGGTGCTAACAGCCAACAATGAGGCAGTGTTGTTCACCAGAGCCCGGTCACAAGGCTTCGGCGGTGTTGGAATATTGTGAATAACGTATGCATATCAAAATAAACTGTTACAAGTTACGCATATTTCATGACAAAGAATAATTGAGTCACAAATTATATCCAGCAAATGCATTGGCTGCGGGTAGAGAGAACCGGAGTAAATCGTGCTGGCAATTTTTGGTACTAGCGTAATGTAAAAATGCGGTGAAAACACCTATTTGAATTGAGCAATATGACGATTGAGTAGGACTCGGAGAAAACTGACCCTGTATTCAGGAATGATGCTACCTGATCCGTACGTTTAGCTATCGTGTGATCTGCACGTGCAGTTTAACTGCATATGTCTAGCACGATTCCCGGTCTGGCAGGCGCCATACTCCGCGTGAGTAGCCGCCGTCCTGCGTCTGGATACATGTGTCCAGAGTCGGCGGCCCGATCACAGGTCCCGCCAACGCTGTCAGCCGCGCCTGACAGACCACCAGCCTTACGTCACCAGCTGGAAACGTGACGTCACCAGCCAAAAATGTGACACCGCCAGCTGTGTCCGGGACACGAGCAGCTGGGCCGGCGGCCCCTGCAGCTGGGCAGTGTACGCCAGCAGCGGAGCTGTGTCCGGGACACCAGCAGCTGGGCCGGCGGCCTCTGCAGCTGGGCAGCATACGTTAGCAGCGGAGTAGGGGATGCTGGCAGCTGGTTCAGTGACATGGTCGACTGGTCCAATAGCATCATAAGCTGTATGTGCGGCGTCAGCAGGGGTCAGGTGACGTCTCGGACCAGCATTTGCGCCTGCGCGCGCAGGCCGGCCCAGACCTCCCTGGCCGTGGGCAGGATCAGGCGCGGCGGCAGCAGGAAGCCGTAGTAGCCGCGGTCGCGCGCCTCGATGGCCACGCTGTGTGGGACGCCGCTGCGGTACGCCCAGTCGGTGCTCGTGCCGCTGTCCAGGTACAACACCCGCGACGAGATGCCGTACCGGTAGCGCACGCCGCTGACGGCGCGCATGGCACGCGTCGCGCGCCGACCGATGTGGCGGTGTTGGCGCGCGTCCGGGCTGGCCAGCCAGCTGTAGCCGTAGGGCACCAGCCACATCTGGCCGTACGAGTGCACCGAGTTAAAGGCGGCGATGCGCGCGCGGTCGCGCAGCACGGCGTCACGCACGGCGCGGCTCTCACGCTCCGAGAACGGTCGGTAGCCCGGGAACGTCATGCCGCACTCTAGGAACGTCACGCCGAAGGTGCCCCAGCGCGCCGCGAAGTTGCGGTTGAGGTCGACGCCGGTGCAGTAATGACCGGGCCGGCGGTTTTTGCGCCAGAGCCGGTCGTGCGTGTGCGTGTAGACGTAGCCGTCCGGGTTGACGACGGGCACCAGGTGCCAGTCGTAGTATGCCAGCCAGCGGCGCTCCGGGCCGAGCAGCTGGCTGATGACGAACAGGCAGGTGGCCGGCGAGACCCACTCGCGAGCGTGGATGCCGCAGTCGACCCACATGACAGGCCGGTCAGCCGGCGCGGACGCGTTTTGCCGCAGCCGCAGCAGCAGGAGCGGCCGCCGCTCGTGCGTGCGACCGATCACCTCCAGCCGCGCGTGGCTCGGGTGCCGCTCAGGCAGCGCGCGGAGGAACGCCTCGATCTCGTCCAGTCGGTGGTAGGCGCCCAGGTCGAGGCCGCAGTCGCCGACGTCGTGGTCGATGCGGCTCCGGCGGGCGACGGCGGCTCCGTCGTCGTCGATGAGCCGCTGCAGGTCCTCGATGCGCAGCCGATAGGGCAGCGCGCTGGCGTTGAGCGCCGCTTCGACAGCGGCGGCCGCCGCCGGCGCCACCTGCAGCTGGAGTGGGCCGGCCGTGCGCTCCTCGCTCCAGAGCTGGGAGCCGGCGCGGCGCGCCAGCAGCTGCAGCTGGGCCGCCTGCGCCTCGTCAGCCACCGCCACGTCGTACACCCGGTACCTGGTAGTCAGAGGAGCCTGTATCAGGCTAGAGTGGACAACTGGGGGGCAGTTATTGACACTGACCAGCCTAGCCTCTGGGGTGTTCGCAGTGGATTTGACACTCGCTCTACGAGCTTTGGACCTTACGCCTCACGAGGGGAGCCGGACATCCCTCCTCCTTCTCGTATGATCTCGAAAATTTAGCGAGATGGACCCTCAGAGAAAATGGTATTGGAAAGATCTCGTCAAACTGTACAAGTCTTTTGAATCCTGGCTTCCCTTGCTTTGTTTTGTACAGAAATGAACTGAAACTGCGAAGTGGGTAAAGGAGCCTTTCATACACATGCCAATTATTAATTGAAGTCTCCAAGTCTCCGTGAGAAAAATGCATAAATTTGTGCAAACGTTAGCCATGTTCTTCAGCCGGTTTCTTTACTCCTCGTTTTTTTTCCGTAATTTTTCTTGTGGAATAGCACAGCAAGAAGTGAGGATGCACAGTTCAGGTTGTCCTAAAATGTCGAGCATGCGCTTGGCTCCTCATGCATGCCAAGCATCCGTCGTCCACTGACAACAGCTTTCTCAATTCAAAAATGAGCTGCCAGTGAGTCAGGAAGGCGGCGTGCCAGTGCAGGTTGTGGGGACGGGCGGCCGGAGTGACCGGTGTGCCGTCTGCGCAGGGCGGCTGTCTTTAAGCCCCCTCCCCCCGTTCCCCCCCCCCGGCGCCGGCCTCCGTGCCCTGCGCCGGGTGCCGTGTGATAGCCCAATTATTCACTCCGGCGGACCAGGACCCGGCGGCCGGGTGACGCTGACAGACAGGCCTTTCACTGGGCCGGTTTCACCCGGAACTCATGCAAAAATGGGTGGCTCGGCTCAAACCGGGCGGGCACGTGACCCCAGCCCAGGCGCCGCGCACTGGGCCGGCTTCTGGGATCGGCGGCGGCGCTTTCGGTTCGTCACCGGCTTTTCCGACCATTAAGTCCACAAACGTCTTTGTGGATTCGGCCTTTTTCATAATTTTTGCCGAGCGCTCTGGGTCCTATCATTAGTATTTTTGGTTGGTAACTGTGTCTATCCCTATGTAAAATATTATGATTTAAGTTGTGAAGCGTACACAAAGCGCGCAATACATTTACGTTAGTAATATTAGTAAGAGTGCAGTGTTACTACTGGTACGCCAGTATTGGTTGCTACTTCCACTATTAGTGCCATTACCATTCGCACCATTCGTGCCAATAGTCTGATTTTTGCATTCGTGTTCGACGGAACGGCAAAACTAATCAGACACCGCTTGTAACAATCATCCTTCATCAAAACGGTGCATTGGCAAAGTCGGCCAATCATCAAAATAAGTCGGACAGATCTTCAGCTTACCGATAAAATTACCGTCACTCGACGTAGTTCAAACATGGACCGCATGGTTCGTCTTTTAGCACTGGTTAAAACGGTCCTGTCGATTAGTCAGGCGTAAATGCAGTGCTGACTTCTATGCGCGCAATGTCACAGCGTAGTTGTGTTTTGCAGACGATTTGCCGCGGTGATCGCGTATTTGAGCACCAACAAGTGGAGTCATCTATGAGTTTCATGGAGGGGATAAGGGAGTTTCATGAGTTTTACTGGTACGTGTCGTGAGTAGCGAGGACAAGAGCTATGTTGTTCTCTGTCTTAGACATTACTTAAGCGATTACAAACCGAATCTGTTGTG